TATGTATTTTTCCACAAATATCACAAAAAATCAATATAAAATAAATACATTAATTTACAATTTCTATTAGGTACGTTTAATACAACTCCTCGAGAGACTTCTTTACTACATAGGATATGTAGACAATCCTAATGATGACGATGTCACAAAACTGGTAAGGCTAAGCGCTTTAAAATGGGCATGTACTCTTGGTCACGAGGAATGCAAGAAAATGGCCGCACTTAAATTAAGTGAACATCTCGTGGATCCTAAAACTCACAAGTAAATTTCTTACGCTCGCGATTGTCTCGTAAATTTCTGTGTGTGCGCGTGAGCGCATATGCGCATGCATATGGATATATTAGTTGCTTTCCATTTACACACAAGTGAAACTGAACCTGAAGTGAGCTAAGTATTTCGTATTCAGATTATGTGTGTGACGTCATTACTTTATACTTTGATAAATTTACATTTGATAACACAGATTTAACATCATTTTTAAATTGAGTTTACATGATTCCAACAGCAAAAAACTTGCAGCAATATTATTGCAAGTTTTGTGCTGTTGGAATCATGTAAACTCATTGCTGCAACGTGTAATGTTGTTACAAAACTTGCAGCAATATTGTTACAACTTTTGTGCTGTTAGGAGTCTCACCAAAGCACACGTCTCGATCTTGTGCATATTGTAAATAAAAACTCAGTTGAATCTTATCAGAATGCGCATTCAACTAAGTTATGATATAATAAGTGAGAATGATTTGAGAATCATTCTCACTTATGTGTAAATGAAAAGTAGCTATTGTAACTGATTCTCTTGAATCCCTATTCTTATTTTAATAATGTAACGATATAATAATATGCCGTTGCTTATAAGATTGGAAGAATAGCGCAGAACAGGAATTCCATTTTACAAAATAAGGTTGCTTAATAATACGTATACGTAAAAATATAAAATTTAAAATTAGTAAAATAGATAGTCGTTATAACATATGAAATGTATGTATCAGTACTTAATTATAGATATATATTTTAGAATTTTATATGAGGAGGAATTTATGTACTGTATTGGTATGATGGCAGCCAATAGGACTACTTGGGATAAAATGTTGGAATTATATCTAAAAAACGAAAAATTGAAAATACAAATATTAGAAAGTTTGAGTTGTGCTGAAGATCCTGATATTATTATCAATTACTTAAATATTATATCATTGAACACTTCATTATTTCACGATGATGAGCATTCTTTTGTTTTCAAGAATGTTCTTGAGAAGTATGCGTGCAACGACAAAATCCGTGACTACGTATTAAAAAATGTGGAGACTATAAAACCTAGGTATTAATATTTCTCTTCGTAGATGTATACTATATTATTTTTTTCTATATAATTATAAAAATTTATTAATTCTATACAATATTTTGTCTTTATATAGATCATTTACTACAACTGCAGTGATAAAGCTTATTCTTGAAAATGTTTACTCTAACGAACAAATTGACAAGGTAAATTTTACGATTTACATACTGATTATTGATCTTTTCATAGCGTTTTACAGCTCGTATAACACAGAATATGCAACATTGCTATAGTATTGCAATATTATTGCAATATTGTGAGAATATTGCAAATTATTGTTGTTGCAATATTACTAGAATTTCCTGTGTTGCAATTTAAATGAAAAACTATTCCTCAGGCCGATTTATGAATTAATTCAACTTTATGTAACTTAATAATATTAATTTTATATAAATTAATATTCATATCATTAATTACTTTATATGTTTGTAATTACTTACATATTTAGACTATATTTTTATATTTTTAAGGACAATTATATTATAAAAATATAGTATAAAATAAGCACGTGCTTTAAAATAATATGAATTGAACTTTAATTCACAAATTAATACAATATTAAATCGATAAGATCTAACCCAAGTAGATCTAATACAAGTAGCAAAGTAACTCCGTTTCTAAAATTTTTATTTGTGTGCATGTAGGCAATCGAACTGCAAGCAATAATTTTTGTGTGCAAACGAACTGTCGACAAAAGTTATGTAGGCAAATGATACTGTAGGCAATCGATTTGTAGGCAAACAAGATCCCCCCTAAATATATTATTTGAGAATCGGTATAAATGAAAAGCAGCTATTGTAACTGATTCTCTTGAATCCCCATTCTTATTCTAATACATCATATATGTATATTTATCTTAACATTATATTAAATTAAAAATTACATATTGTATTGAATTTATTTATTCAATTTATTTATTTAATTTATTTATCTCAAACTAATCTGTTCCAGGTACAAACATTCTCAGAAACTAATTTTAATCAAGATCCAGACACTTTGTATGCAATTCAAATAATGATAGAAAAGCGTAAAGAATATCTTGAGTTTATCATACAACATGTTAAGAAGTGGTTTTTCTACAGAAAAGAAGACTTCATTGTGAAGTGATCATTGATCTGATTAATCAACGAGATGAAATGTAATGCAAAACACATATTTATTCCTATATGAATGTTGTAATAATATTATTTGTATCCAGTACTATCATCTTGTAAATATTTTTTAAATTATTTTAATTTAATTTTCCAAAATGTTTCAATATTTTTATAGTATATCTGGGAAAACTATCAATAAAGTCTTTTGACACATTAATCATCTGTAACAGTCTTTTATTGACAAATAATTCATATAATATTACATAATACGTAAAACTCTTTGTATTTGTGTGTGTGTGTAAAATATTTTTATAAATACTAAAACTTTATTAATTACATTTAATACAGAATAATTGTAATTAAATTATCTCAATTGACAAATATATTATATAATATATCTACATTTCTAGATTATATGAATATGTATATATAGTAGTGTCGTTATTTAATAACAATTCCTAAACAGTATAGTTAATAGCATTATTATTATTATTATTATTACTATCTTTATAGATGTTTGATTTGGAATAGAAGACATGAAATAATAATGTGTGTCACAATGTATTAAAAAATCAACTAAATAATAAAGGTATTTTTATTTAAATAAGAGTTTATTGTATACAATTTATTATATACAATAAAAGCATGTAGATAATTTTATATTATTCATAACTTTCTTTTTTTTTTTTTTATATTTGCACTTTTTTCACTAAACAAATTAACTTCTGAGAAGAAGAAAGTGAAGTTCATTTATAAGAATTTCTGTAAAGCATTGATCGGCAACAGCTGCAACTTTTGGGAGAAAGTCATATATCAAACATATGCACGAACCATAGAGTAGTATAGAGGAAACATGAATCGACAGACTAGTACATAACCGGACATATAAAGAGAAAGAGAGAGAGAAAGAGAGAGGGAGAGGGAGAGGGAGAGAGAGAGGGAGGGAGGGAGGGAGGGAGAGAGAGAGAGAGAGAGAGAGTTGGAGGAATAGAGAAAATATGAGAAAATAAATACCTTGATAAATTAAATATAATAATAAAACTTAATTTATACTTTTGTTTTACTCTATTTTTATACATTCTTATTTTTCTATCTTTTATTTTAGACTTTTATCTTATAATGGCAAAAATGTGAACATGTTTCAGTTTAATGACAACTATACTAGAATTACGTAGAATAAACGCAATAAATTTTTGTATAGATGCAAATATGTGTCAAAAATCTTTTAGAAAATTTGAAATTGCTCTAAACATTTTTATATTATAATCAATTATTTAAATGTTATACTGTCGGACAATATTTGACATTGCGATTAAGAAATCCTATTTCATCTTTTTTCAATCTGGTAATTAATCATTTATCATTTATACAATAATTAGATGTTTAAATACATGTTAAGAAATCTTGAAAGATTCGAATTCAAGCAATAACATCTTGAGAAATACGTATGCTTCGAATTTTCTATTAAAATGTAAGAATTTTTTAAAATAAACTGTAGCATGTAATCTTGTTATGTTATTTTTTATATTTATTAAATATTTGTCATTATTGTTAAATTTCTTTATGCAGAGCTTCTCATTTTCAATTTTTTGTAACGTTTTTTTTTGTCGATGACTTCATATTCAGAATCGGTTCTTACTTTAAGATTCTTTTAAATAATTTCTTAAGCTGCTAATGCAGCCTTATGATTTATTTATGACAGCTTAAAACTGTAGAGAAATGGTTTTAAATAAGGTCCGATCATAATTTATTAATACCGCCTTATAAGTTTCAACATACGTTATCGGAAACAAAAATACATAGTTCAAAATTTGATAAAGGTCGTCTTTATATTGACACATACAATGTATTTACAATAGCATCAGAGACATTGTAATCATTATTTGGGAATCTTTCGAGGTGGCAAGACGATAATCGCGCAGTTATGCTGAAGTATCTAATATTAAAAGATCGACAATTGCAATTAATCAATTACAATTAATGCGAGTCAACTATATTTTTTATCTGTACGAAGGTGTAACATACAAAGTAAGTAAAAATATAATAATTTAATTAATGTCTATCCATCATTAAAGTTATCAAAAATATGTGAAATGTAATTCCAATTATTTTATAAAATAGAGTACGACAAAGTTTAATTTCATTTCTTCGAGAACTTATTTTTTATGATGAGATATTTTACATTTTATTCTGACACATAATTACATAAAATATAAATTAAATAACTTGTAATAATGTACATTAAATAACTCGTAAATTATTAATTTTTCGATAATATTTGATTTAAGGATTATTCTGTATATTACTCACGCGCGCACGCGTACACACACACACACACACACACACACACACACATTTGACTTTACAAAAATAATAAAAAAAAAAGTATTTTTACATATGATATAAGATAAACACTTATATCATATGTAAAAATTACAGATTAATAAAAGTTTTAAACTATTTTTTATTGTGGAGAATTCCATTAATAATTTGTTTACGAAATAAATTAAAAATTAGTTTATTATTTATTTTTACTTTTGAATTGATTTGGAAACTAAGAAATAACAATTATAATTCTAAGAGTCAATCTTATAATTTCCGAGAACAAAACCTTTCTTTTTAATAATTACTCTAACTAATGGTTAAATTCAAATATTATATGACACCAATAATGTGTTTATGTTATTTAAGTTTGATAACAAATATTCTTTATGGACAAATGTAAATAGTGCTACTTAAATGTCTAAAATTATCTTTAAAATGGAATAAATTAATTTTTTATTTGGTTTTTATAAGAAAAAATTCTATGAAAAAAAACAAGATAAATTAATTACGAGTACATCAAAATATTCTTAACAGATATTAAATACATGATTCTTATAATAAAAAAGTGCAAAATTTATTTTTCCCATTTCTTTTCATTTTTATGTAAAAATTTATGTTAAACCACAATAACTTTGTATTTTTTTATTTTTTCTTTAATGAACAATCGTAGGTACGTAAAAAGAGGGATTCAATATGGGATTTCTGAAGTTACTAAATATTGGCCTGATATTGGCCGTAAGAACGATTCCGTGCATCAGTCGAAGTAGAGAAATTATTGAACGATTACCGAATAACACGATACCAGTTCACTATAACATCAATCTGACACCGTATCTCAAGGAAGGCAATTTTACTTTTTACGGCGAATCCAATGTCAATATTGAAATTCATTATGCATCGTCAAAAATAAGCTTACATTCAAGAAAATTAAAAATAAATAAAACGGCGACAACATTGATTAATGACAACGGTACGATTTATAAACCGATAGAACATATTTACAATATAACAACCAACATTTTAACACTGAATTTTAATGATATGTTATCGCCCGGTCTGTACATTCTGAATATGAAATTTGCCGGTAATTTATCAAAGCGTTCTCAAAAACAGGGTTTTATGAAATTTCGGTACACAACCTCTAAAGGAAACACGTAAGTAAATATTAAAACATGAAAATATATTTGCAACATAATGACTGCGTTCTGCAAGAAAACTAATCAGTTAGCGCTTAGTGATTCTTTAATATAATTGGTTCTTACACTTAGATTTTACGAAGAACTAAAGGTAAGAAACAATCATATTAAAGAATCACTAAGCACTAACTGATTAATTTTCTCTGTTGAACGCAGCCATAGACAGTTTTTGTTACTATCTTGTTTTGCTTCTATTATTGTTTCTATACTGAAAAAGTTTTTTTGATGAAATATAATTATAATATACATACATATATATATATATATATATATATATATATGTGTGTGTATATTATATATGTTTCTAAATATTAGTTTTTTGTTCTCCCAAATTAATTTTCTAGATAAT